GACCGAGCTCCCAGGACAGCTGGCAGTGGGGAAAGCAGAACACACCCCTCCAGCCTCTGCTCACCGTTCCTGCACCAGCCCCAGGGGAAAAAGGGCACAGTGAAAACACCCCTGTCCTGTGGCACAGGCTCTATCCAGACCCAACTGGGTGCTGTGAGCAGCTGGAATCCCTCAGGCCTCACCTGTAGGCAGCGAAGGCCCACTGCAAGGGATAATCCAGGTTCTTGGTGCAGATGGCAATGAACACCAGGCTCAGGGCGATGGGGTGGATCTGGATGCCCGAGTACATCAGCAGCAACCCCAGGAGCTGCAGGGCCCAGGACAGGAGGTTGATGCTGCGCTCGTTCTCCAAGGGGCCGTACCTGTAGCACACRGCGAAGCTCAGGAGGCCCACGAAGAGCAGGTAACCTGTGGGACAGTGCAGGGATGGGGGAGAAATCCRTGAGGATGAGGGTGAAACCAGCACCACCCCCTCAGAGGCTCTGTGAAGATGAGGGTGAAGCTGGACAACATCCCCTCAGAGGCTCCGTGAGAATGAAGCTGGCCACCACCCTTTCGAGGGTTCCATGAGGATGAGGATGAACCCAGCACCACTCTCTCAGGGGCTCCATGAGGACGAACCCAGCACCACCCCTTTGAGGGCTCTGTGAGGATGAGGATGAACACAGCACCATCCCCTCAGGGGTTCCATGAGGATGAGGGTGAACCTGGCACCATCCCCTCGGAGGCTCCCTGAGGATGAAGATGAACCCAGCACCACCCCCTGAAAGGCTCCATGAGGAGGATGAATCCAGCACCACCCCCTCGGGAGCTCTGTGACGATGAATCCAGCACCACCCTCTCGGGAGCTCCATGAGGATGAGGATGAACCCAGCACCATCCCCTCGGGGGCTCCATGAGGATGAGGGTGAGAATGACCCCAGCACCACNGGGACCAGCCTGGAACTCTGCAACCTCCTGCCAGGGGGCAATGCCAGTTATTGCCCGCCTGGATGGGGTGGGACCAGTGCCCACGGTGGGACCAGTGCCCAGGGTGGGACCTCCAGGACAGAAACTCTCAGGACAGAACCCCTGGAGTAGGAACACCTTCCAGGGCAGGAATTCTGGGGCAGGATCAGCTCCTGAGGCAGGATCAGAAGCCAGGGCAGGAATTCTGGGGCAGAATCAGCTCCCAGGGCAGGAATTGTGGGGCTGGATCAGCTCCTAGGGCAGGAATTCTGGGGCAGGACCAGCTCCTGAGGCAGGATCAGTGGCCAGGGCAGGAATTCTGGGGCAGGACCAGCTCCTGGGACATGAATTTCTGGGGCAGACCGAGCTCCCAGGACAGGACCAGCTCCCAGGGCAGGAATTTTGGGGCTCGATCGTTCCCAGGGCAGGAATTTTGGGGCTGGATTAGCTCCTAGGGCAGGAACTTTGGGGCAGACCTAGCTCCTGGGACATGAATCTATGGAGCAGACCGAGCTCCCAGGACAGGACCAGCTCCCAGGACAGGAATTTTGGGGCTGGATCAGCTCCTAGGGCAGGAACTTTGGGGCAGGACCAGCTCCTGGGACATGAATCTATGGGGCAGACCATACTCCCAGGACAGGACCAGCTGCCAGGACAGCTGGCAGGAACTTTGGGGCAGAACCAGCTCCTGGGACATGAATTTCTGGGGCAGACCACACTCCCAGGACAGGACCAGCTTCCAGGGCAGGAATTTTGGGGCTGGATCAGCTCCTAGGGCAGGAACTTTGGAGTAGGACTAGCTCCTGGGACATGAATCTGTAGGGTAGACTGCTTCCAGCTCTCAGAGCAGAATTCTGGGGCAGGACAAGCTCCTGAGGCAGGACCAGCTCCCAGGGCAGGAATTCTGGGGCTGGATCAGCTCCTGGGACATGAATCTGTCGGGCAGACCGCACTCCCAGGACAGGACCAGCTCCCAGGGCAGAAATTCTGGGGCTGGATCAGCTCCCAGGGCAAGGAACTTTGGAGTAGGACCAGCTCCTGGGACATGAATTTCTGGGGCAGACCACACTCCCAGGACAGGACCAGCTTCCAGGGCAGGAATTCTGGGGCTGGATCAGCTCCTGGGACATGAATTTCTGGGGCAGACCGAGCTCCCAGGACAGGACCAGCTCCCAGGACAGGAATTCTGGGGCTGGATCAGCTCCCAGGGCAAGGAACTTTGGGGCAGAACTAGCTCCTGGGACATGAATCTGTGGGGTAGACTGTGCTTCCAGCTCTCAGAGCAGAATTCTGAGGCAGGACAAGCTCCTGAGGCAGGACCAGCTCCCAGGACAGGAATTCTGGGGCTGGATCAGCTCCTAGGGCAAGGAACTTTGGGGCAGAACCAGCTCCTGGGACATGGATCTGTGGGGCAGACTGTGCTTCCAGCTCTCAGAGCAGAATTCTGGGGCAGGACCAGCTCCTGAGGCAGGACCAGCTCCCAGGGCAGGAATTTTGGGGCTGGATCAGCTCCTAGGGCAAGGAACTTTGGGGCAGAACCAGCTCCTGGGACATGGATCCGTGGGGCAGACTGTGCTTCCAGCTCTCAGGGCAGAATTCTGGGGCTGGATCAGCTCCTGGGACATGAATCTATGGGGCAGACCGAGCTCCCAGGACAGGACGAGCTCCCAGGGCAGGAATTTTGGGGCAGGACCAGCTCCTGGGACATGAATCTGTGGGGCAGACCGAGCTCCCAGGACAGCTGGCAGTGGGGAAAGCAGAACACACCCCTCCAGCCTCTGCTCACCGTTCCTGCACCAGCCCCAGGGGAAAAAGGG